CCTCATCCGCCTCCTCCTCCTCCTCCTCCTCCCCCTCCTCCTCCTCCTCTCTCAAGGCGCTCGGACAGCGTCGCCCCCATCCGCCCTCTGCCCGTGGAAGGGCCAGTGGGTTCGCACGTGGTCGAGGGGTGCTCAGAGTTTAGAAGACGCCGCGGTGTTCTCCGCCAAGCCGCGTGGCCCCAATGGGGCATTCGCGGCTTCCCCCGCCAGACCCCACTGGCCCATCCCGCCAGATCCAACGGCCCCCATCCCGCCAGATCCCCAAGGCCCCGCCGCCAGACCCCCAAGGCCCCCCAAGACAAGATTATCAACGGCCCGACGGTCCTGGACGAGCCCGAGGCGGCCGCCGCCTTCGAGCCACGCGACCCTCCCCAGAGGGAGGTACTGGCCCTGCGTCCACTCGCACCTCTTCTCGCACGTTGACTTCGTCATAATCTCCTGGCGGGATCAAGGCGCCCCCCGATATTTCTCGGACTGCGGCCCCCAACTGAGGTTTGAGACTGGACCCCGCCCGCCGAAAATCTAAAAAGCTATGGCATGATGGGCCATCCAGGGATAGGTTCCAGAAGCACGGCCCGAAAATCCTGGACCTTCTTGTGCTCGTCTTTGGCCCACTGCGACCGGAAGGCCGCCTTCCTGGCGTTGACTTTGGCGCCCGTTATCGCGTCGTAGCGCGACGAGATGCCGGGGTCCGACTAGGGGGGCGGGCGCGGGTGGAGGAGCGGCGGGCGGAGGGGGGCGATATGCATCGCCCCCGCCAACCGCCGCTTGAGGAGGTGGAGGGTGAGAGGAGGAGGAGAGGGGGAGGAGGAGGGTGGTGAGGAGCAGGAGGGGGAGGTGGAGGAGGAGGAGAAGGAGGAGGAGGAGGAGGAGGAGGAGAAGGAGGAGGAGGAGCAGGAGGAGGAGGAGGAGGCGGGTGGGTGGAAGGGGGAGGGAGAACAATAATGACCAGGACCACCTGATAGGCTCTGGTCCACCTGCCCGCCAGCCGAGGGCCCACCTTGCCGTCCGTGGTGACCGACCAGTTCCCCAGCCGCACCGACTCCCAAAACTCCCACTCATCCTTCAGGGTCCCCTTGTTGCGGCCCGCGGACTTGCCCATGTCGGCGGCCCCGCCGTTGCCAGACTTCTCAGAGGGGGCGGGGCCCAAGGGCTTCTGGTCAGGGCCCAAGAGGCCCCACTTCTGCGGGTTCATCAGGTGCCCATCCGATGAGATGTCGGACCCCAGGTCTGACATCACGCTGTCCACGTCCCCGATGCCCCTGTCGCGCATCATATCTTTCACCCCGCCCTCGTTGTACATGCTGGTCAGCGCGTGATGGATGCCCATCTCGTTGACCTCGCCCTCCCCGCTAGCTGTCTTATTCAGGGTCTCCTGCCAGCGGCATGGGAGGGGTGGGAAGTAGAATTGGGAGAGTGTGAAGGGCGGGACGAGGGATTAGTCAGGGGATGGGGAGGGAGAGGGAATAGTGGAACGACTGCTTAGTCAGGGGAGTGGGAAGAGCGGGAAGAGGGATGGGGAGGGAGTGGGAAGAGGGATTAGTCAGGGAATTGAGAAGTAGGGTAGGGAGGGAGGAATCGACAGGGAGACGGAGGGCGGTGGGCGGAAGAGGGGGGATGGGAGGGAGTTGGAAGTAGAAACGGGGGAAGGGCTGGGAGTGGGGGGAGAGGGGGAGAGGGAGAGGATGATAGGGAGGGTCAGATCGAAACCTATCTCAGATTGTGACTTCACGGTCAGGACTGGCCGCCAGATGGAGCAACCAATGGCAAGCGTGTGATTGGTATGACCTGGCCCAGTCTTGCGAGGCGGGACAGACGTAGGTTCGACGGGCGGAGAAATCCAACGCATTGGATTTTGCATTGGAATTTGGACCCGCCTCCTCCACAGGAGCCCCACATGGGGGCCACCCGAGGTGCCACACAGGTGCCCCAGATGGGCCCCAGTTGGTCGAGCCGAGCCCAGCCGCGAGCGACGAGGGTACACTCGACCATCTCGAACAGAGAGCATATACCATTCTCGCACGCGCAATCGATCTATCCAAAGATACTGTCTGCGGGAATCGGCGAGCGCGGCTGCGCCTGCTGGGCGGTGGGCTGCTCAGGCGGGCACTCCAGGGGACGCAACGGGACCGCGCTGTCAATGACCACCGCCACCGCACCCGTGTCCAGAGTCGACGTCGGTGCCGCCGCTGGCCTCTTTCGAACGCCTGGGCCGCCCTCATCATCATCATCGTCATCTGCCTGCAGGCTGCTCTGCGCGGCTGGCTTCTTTGCCATTGGCGGCTCCTCGTCTTCCACGCTTTCATCGCCCTCCTCATCCTCTGCGGCCTTTGCCGCTGGCTTCTTCGCCACTGGCGGTTCCTCATCTCTGCTATCCTTTGCGGCTGGCCTCTTCTTCATTGCCGCGCCGTCTTCCTCCTCCCCCTCCTCCTCCTCCTCATCCTCTTCCTCCTCCTCATCCTCATCGCCCTCCTCGGCGGCCAGATCCTCGCTGTCGGGGGTCTCGTCGTCGTCTACCTTTCCGCGTTTCTTGCCGCCGCCTCCGCCTTTGCTGGACCTTCCTGCGGCTGCTGGCTTTGCTGCTGCTGCTGCTGCTGCTGCTGCTGCTGCTGCTGCAGGCCGCTTCATGGCTGCGGTCTTCTTGCCGTTGGCCTTGAACCATTCAGATTTCATTGCTTCCATTCTGGGCTTGTCCAGCCTCCCGACGCAGTACCCTTCCGCCAGACCCACCACGAATGATTTAGCCTGCTCTTCCAAATCAGTGGGGTAGCCGACCATCTGCATCACCTGAAACCGGTCAGAGTTCCCCCCCTGCAGCATCTGGATCCAGGACCCCTTCGTCTTGTGGTTGACCATGCACACGTGCACGGGCTGCTTCCCGTGAGTCCCTCTGAAGAATATGGTTGAATCAGCCGTCCTGGAGGAATGCATCGCCTGCTCGGGGCCAGTTCCAGGAACGTTCCAGGTGAGACCATCGGGCCACGTGGCAACCAGTGCATCAGTCACATCTGCTTGAATCTGGGGCTTCGTGTGTTCGGGGATCGCAGGCTTGCCGACCTCATACCGCCACGCCATCTGGGGGGGTGCCTCAAGTTACACGCCGCACCCCCCCCCTCATCCTCCTCCTCCTCCTCCTCATCATCCTCCTCCTCCTCATCTCATCTCCTCCTCCTCCTCCTTATCCTCCTCCTCCCTCCTCCTCCTCCTCCTCCTCCTCCTCATTCAAATCATCATCATCATCATCATCATCAATCACCATCCTCTGCCTCCTCATCCTCCTCTCCTCCTGCCTCCTCCTCCTTCCCCCTCCTCCTGCTCCCCCTCCTCCTCCTCTCCTCTCTTCCTCTCTCCTCTTCCCCCTCCTCTCCTCCTCCCCTCCTCCTCCTCCTCCTCCTCCTCCTTTGTATTAGTCGTCTTCTTACTACTCGCACTCCCCCTCTGCTTGTGCCATCCCGCCCAGCGCGCTCCCTCCCCATGCTGCGCCTCCCGAATCCATCGTATTATCGGTTTCCGTCTCCTCCGACTCATCATCATCAGCATCATCATCCTCGCCATCTTCCTCATCCTCATAATCATCATCACCATCATCATCATCATCAGCACCATCACAATCCTCATCATCATCATAATCACCATCACCATCATCATCATCATCGTCATCATCGTCATCATCAGCTTCATCAGCATTATCATCCTTCGCCTCCTTCTCATCCTCCTCTTCCGCATCAACCTCCTCCGCCTACGCATCCTCCTTGTCCCGTCTTTCTCCCCCTCATCACCATCATCGTCATCATCATCATAATCAGCATCATCATCACCGTAATCAGCATCACCAACATCAGCAGCATCGACATCATCATCAGCACCAGCATCATCATCGTCATCAGTATCATCGTCATCACCATCCTCATCATCACCATCATCATCAGCAGCATCAGCAGCATCATCACCAGCTTCTGCATCATCACCAACATCATCATCATCTTCACCCTCATCCTCCTTCTCATCCTCCTCCTCCTCCTCCTCATCATCATCATCACCAGCATCAGCATCATCATCATCGTCAGCATCATCATCACCATCATCACCATCATCACCATCAACATCATCATCATCATCATCACCATATGCCCCCACATCCTCCTCGTCCTCGTCCTCCTTCTATTCCTCCTCCTTCTCCTCCTCCTCCTCCTCATCCTCCTCCTTGTCCTCCTCCTCGTCCTCCTCGTCCTCGTCATCCGCGTCTTCCTCCTCGCCTTCCTCCACCTCCTCCTCCTCCTCATCCTCCACCTCCTCCTCCTTCTCCTCCTCCGCACCCTCCTCTCCGTTCGCCCCACACGTGAAGGGGCACCCTTAAACACCCAGATCACCTGGAGTTCCCCGCTGTACCCGAGGTTCCATTTTCCTTTTGTTTCGATGATTTCCAGCGCTGACTTCCTCGGCCTCTTGGCCGCTGGCTGCTCGACCGATGCCGCCGCGCTGCTGACACCAGGTGGATCGTCGCCGCCAGCATCGTCGTCGGTTGGCTCGGGCTCGTCCTCGTCGTCGCCGAACGTCTCCCGCGCCCACCGCTGCTGCCTGGGGGGCATCGGCCCAGGCCCCAGGCCCTCGGATCGTCGGACCCCTAGTCCCCAATCGTTGTTCGGATCGACGGGGACGGCGATCCGAACAACGATTGGGGACTAGGGGTCGGACGTGGGCCCCGTCCCCGATGTTTGGAACCCCGCGGGGCTTGATGAGGCCCTGGGAGACGTGGCGGAGCATGCACCGGATTTGAGCAGCCATATCACGTGCCCAAGCGGGCCCCTCTTTGGACAAGTGCCATTCTGGTTCTCGTTTCTGGGCCAACTTCGCGAAGACCTCCTGAGAGGCCGGATGCGAAGGAGGAAATGAGGGAGAAGGAAAGAGAAGGATAACGAGGAAGGACGGGTATGTGGAGAGAGGATGGAGGAGGACGAGAAGGAGGAGGGAACCCATGAGGCTGCTGGGGGGATTGCTAGTCACCGCGAGGCGATTAGCTTGAACACAGCATCCTCAGCAAGAGACTGCTTGATACTTTTCGAGATCTTGCGGGTATCATTGAGGAGGTCGGCATACTTCATCAGCTTGTGTCGCAGGACGGGTGCCTTGTGCAACGGCAGGGTCGTGTACTCGATCTCTTTGGGAGAGGATATATGATAGTGCCATGTTCGCATCAACTGATCGGCCAACGGTAACTGCATGACATCTCTGGACGGCGCGCTTGAGCCACATCCCTACGGACCAAATGTTGAACGCTCGTGGTTTCGGCCGCCAGATGGTGCGACTTCGCTTGTCATGTCCACCAGTGACTTGGATGGCATGGTATGGCTTGGCACGGCGTGACATCACTCGATTTGGCTAGGCTGCCCAGAACGAATTGGCCACCGTCTGGGGATGGCTTGGCATGGCTTGAGCTTGGTTTGTATGACTGGGCTGGCATGGCTTGGCATGGCTTGGCATGGCTTGGCATGGCTTGGCATGGCTTGGTATGGCTTGGGCATGGCTTGGGCTTGGCATGGCTCGGGCTTGGCTTGAGATTGGGCATGGCTTGGGCGTGGCGTGGGCTTGGGCACGGTTTGGGCTTCGACGCGCTGGGGGCGTCCTGACAGGCCCGTGTGGGGCCAGATATCGCCCACCCGCTGGGGCCATGTGGCCCATCCGTGGGGCCACTCCGCTGGGGCTTCTGCAGGGTCCATGTGGAGACGGGCCCAAACTCCAATGCAAAATCCAATGCATTGGATTTTGCAGTGGATGTCCGATGGAGACGGGCCCAAACTCCAATGCAAAATCCAATGCATTGGATTTTGCATTGGATTTCCGATGGAGACGGGCCCATACTTCAATGCAAAATCCAACGCATTGGATTTTGCATTGGATTTTCGAGGCCCGCCAGACGGGGGGTGTTTCGAGCCGAAGCCCGCGGGACGGAGAGTGTTTCGAGCCGAAGCCCGCCGGACGCCGAGACGGGCGGTGGCGGGAGTCCTCGAGCGCGGCCATCGCCGCGTTCACCTTCTTGACCGATGGGCGGAGGTGCTTCTCGGGCGGCGTACGGGTTGCCCTGCGGGCATTGGGCGGGCGTCGGTCCTCCACTTCTACCTCCCTCTCCATCCTACTTTACTTCCACCTCTTCCGTATCCAACTCCTCCTACATTTACCACCACCTATCCCTTACCCAACTCCTCCTACATCCTCCATCCTCAACCCTTTCTCCCCCGTGCTCAGCCCCTCCGCTGCCTCCTAACCTCGTCGTCCTACCTCTTCCTACCCCCCACTCTCGTCCTCGTCCTCGTCGTCGTCATCGTCGTCGTCGTCGTTGTCGTCCTCCTCCTCCTCCTCCTCCTCCTCCCCCTCCTCCTCCTCCTCCTCGTACTCCTCTTCCTCCTCTTCTCTTCCTCCTAGTCCTGCTCCTCTTCGACTAGCTCTTTCCGCCTTCCCCCCTGCATCCTCCAAGACCGAGATTATTCCGATTCCCTATTCCGTCCTTCACTTCCCCTCCCCCCTTCCGCCTACTTCTCTTCCCCCTCCTCTCCTTTCTTCCTTTGCCCAAAGGCTCTTCCCTTCCTTCCACCTACTTTCCCCTTCCTTCCCCCCCGCCTTCCCCTCCGTCCGCTCTTCCCCTGCCCTCCGTATACAACGGACAAGGCTACCATGGTCCTCCACGTCCTCCTATTATTTTTCATCCTCCCTATCTGTCTCCCCTCCCTCGGTCATTGCTTGCACCCCCCCGCGCCCTCCCCTCTGATAAGAGGGGAGGGGTAGCGCCGAGCGAGAGGGTTCTGGACCCAGCGGTCCTCGCGGAACCGCGGCGGCGATGACCTTGGCGTAGGCGTTGGCGTCGGCGTTGGCGTCGGCGTCGGCGTCGGCGTCCGCGTCGGCGTCGGAGCCGTCGGAGCCGACGAGGGCCCACGCATGTCCTCGCGGGGCGGACGAGGCAGGTGATGGGGGAAGGAGTACGGACGGTGGAGATGGATCAGATGTCATCCTCTTCCTCATCCTCCTCCTCCTCCTCCTCCTCCGCCTCCTTCTCGCTCTCCCCTACTCTTCCTCCTCCTCATCCTCCTCCTCCTCCTTCTCCTGCTCCTGCTCCTGTTCCTCCTCGTATTCCGCCTTCTCCTCCTCCTTCTCCTCCTCCTCCTCCTCCTCCTCCTCCTCCTCCCCCTCCTCCTTCTTATTATTCTCCCCCTCCTCTCCTCCTCCTCCGCCTCATCATCCTTCTCGGCCCCGACCTCGATCGGTTCGAACGCGCTCGACTCGCAGCCCGAATCGAACGCCGACGAACTCCAGGACTCCGTGATCAACGAGCGACGCCTCCTCCTACATATCACGAGGGAGCAGGTCGAGAAGGAATGGTGAACTGGGGAGGAGCAGGGGTGTTGGGGCAGAGCAAGGACTAGGAGGCGGGGCTGGGGGGTGCATAGTGGGAATTGCAAGCATGGGCGGATGTAAATGGGGATGGAAGGGGAGGGATTTGCGACCAAGCCGTCCTTCTGGCCGAACGCCTGCTGGAGCTTCTTCTCCTCTTCTTCCTCCTCCTCCTCCTCCTCCTCCTCCTCGTCCTTGTGGTTGAGCTCTGCCATGTCCTCGTCGTCGTCGTCGATCTCGACCGCCTGCGTTGGCGTTGGAGTTGTGCTGGGCTTCGGCCTCGTCATCGCGCCTTCGTCCGCTGCGTGCGCCTGCTGCTGCGCCTCCCTCCTCGCGCCTTCGTCCGCTGCGTGCGCCTGCGGCGGCGCCTCCCTCCTCGCGCATTCGTCCCACGCTGCGTGCGCCTGCGGCGGCGCCTCCCTCCTCGCGCATTCGTCCGCTGCGTGCGCCCGAACCTGGGAGCACTCAGCCCCCTCCTCCTCCTCCTCCTCCTCCTCCTCCTCCTCCTCCTCCTCCTCCTCCTCTGGGGCTGCCTCCTTGCCCTCCTCTGAGGCGGCCTCGCTCTCCTCTGCGGCCGCCTTCTTCGCCTTCGCCTCCGCCTCCTCCTCTGAGGCGGCCTCCTCCTCTGATGCGGCCTCCGCTCTCGACGGATCGCCTTCGGGCGTGGCCGGCGCGACCTCGGGTGGCACCTTCTCCGATGCCGATGCTGCAGGCGCCGCCGTCGGGCCGCCCGTCGAGGCCATCGGCTGCGCGGATGCTCGCAGGAGCGCGCAGCCGATTGGCGTGTGCCACGCTCGATGTGGCGGCGGCAGCCACTCTACCATCGTCGAGCCAAAATTGCTCTGGGGGGGCAGAGCACTGGCAGGATCGGGGCGGAACAGGGGACAGGGGGTGCAGACGTGGAAAGAGGAGGGGGGAGGCGTGAGGAAAGGCAAACTAACGGTCCAGGGACTTGCGGCACGGAGACGAGGATGATAGGGGGGAAGAAGAGGAGGAGGGCGAAGGCGAGGATGATGATGAGGACGATGATGGCAAAAAAGGAGAAGGGGGAGGAGGAGGAGGAGGAGGAGGAGGAGGAGGAGGAGGAGGAGGAGGAAGAGGAGTAGGAGGAGGAAGGAGGAGGAGAGGAAGGAGGAAGGAGAGGAGGAGGAGGAGGGGACGAGGAGGGAGGGAGGGAGGGGAGGGAGGGAGGTGAGGGGGAGGGAGGCAGGGGAGGGAGGCAGGGAGGGAGGGGGGGGGGAGGGGAGGGAGGGAGGGAGCCGAGGGAAGGGAGGGGAGGGAATAGGAAGAAGGAGGAGAGGAGGAGGAGGAGGAGGACTCAGTAACTATTAGTAAAGTACAGTAGGGAGGAGGAGGAGGAGGAGGAAGGAGGAACTGCGGTGGAAGGAGGCGGAGGACGGAGGAGGAGGAGAGGACGACTACAAGAGGATGAAGATGAATGAGGAAGAGACGATGGGGGGGGCGCCATCGTCCCCCCCCCTCTCCTCCTCCCATCCTCCTCCTCCCCGTCTCCTCCTCCTCCTCTTCCTTTTTGTTTCCTCCTCCTCCTCCTCCTTCTCCTCCTCGTCCTCCTCCTCCTCCTCATCTTCCTCCTCCTCCCCCTCTTATTTCTTTGTTTCGCTCCCGATTGCGTGGGGCGTAAGGGTGACCGCCGACCCGCGCCGACGTCTCCTGGGTCAAGAGGCGTATATAATCTGCGGATCTCCTTTTCAGGTCTGCAGGCGAAAGCTATTCGCCTGATAATCATGTAAAAAAGCAGGCGTATATTAACGTGCAAAACATGTATACATGTGTGCAATTCTATACAAAATGTATGAATTTATATATTAAATCGTATGAGCCTGATAACATAACACAACATGTTTCGGATCCCGATTTGAAGATCTAGTTAGTTTGTCACAGCAATTTCTTGCTGGATCCCGATTCGGGATCTTGAGAACCTCTGGGTGGAACTGTCGTCGAAGAAGACCTCGCCAGTTGACCGCGGCACTTCAATTGCCGCTGCAATAGAACAACTGATAGCTTTTGCGCGCGGCGCGCTGTCGCTCGCACATGAGCACCGCTTACTCGAGAAACGAACGCCGGCGGGATCTTGTAGATCATCCGGGGGCACCTCGCCCGAAAGCCGTCGAGTCGATCCAGATCGCGCGATAGTAAGAGACATGATTCAAAACCATACAATAGTTTTGAAATCGCGCCTGCGTCCATGCTCGCGTTTTCTCATGTCGACTCACAATCGCGCGGTTCCACGCAGCGCAGAGCCGTCGGCAGGCGCCCTTGACTTCCCCGAGCCGCCCTGCAAGTTCAAAACCATACAATAGTTTTGAAATCGCGCCTGCGTCCATGCTCGCGTTTTCTCATGTCGACTCACAATCGCGCGGTTCCACGCAGCGCAGAGCCGTCGGCAGGCGCCCTTGACTTCCCCGAGCCGCCCTGCAAGTTCAGCGCGCGGGCCCCCATCGGAACCACGAAGTGCCCCACATAATTTGCTTGATTTGTGCATTGGACTTCTTCGCCTCCAGGCCCGAATGCGGGGGCATCTGGTCGGGCCCTCAGAATTGTTCCCCCATTCGCTCAATGCCAGCCCAAATCCTTTGCCAACGTTCGCCGCGAGACCCAGATGGCGCTGCAATGCGCCCAGTTTGTCGGCAAGAAGCATCGCGTCGTCGGCGCGCAAGATGCCCCGGGTAACGAGATAAGTTTCGGCGCACGTTCCAGCGCCGTTGTTCATCTCGTTGTCCACGGCCCCCATCAGCACAGACATGAGGATTATGAAAATGCACGGGGGTAGAGGGAAGCCCTGAGCAAGCATTTTGCGAACGTCGCGAGGATGTGTTTTGCCATTCTCGCGCAACAAACTTCCGCGCCGCGCGCGCGCCTTGAAACGCGTCGACCATGGCCGCGCGCATCTGGAATTGACGCAATGCGCGCAGCAGCCCGTCGGGGCGGATACGATCCAACGCCTTGCCCCAGTCTAACAGAAGCACGAGCAATGCCACGCGCTTGTCTTCAAGCCTTGCGTCGATTACGCGGCGCGCCAGGAACGCGGCGTCGGAGGCGCCCCGGTTAGGTCTGAAACCGCGCCGAGATTCTCGGCGCCGCTTCTCCACGGGCCCAAGTTTAGAGGCGATGCAAGATGGCGCTCGCGAGCACTTTGCACCCAACTGCAAGTGAAGGAACGGGCCTGCAATTGCTCGGCGCGGACGCGCCCCCCTTCTCGAAAATCGTCAAAATGGGGGCCCCCCGCCACGATTCCGGCATTTTCCCCCGAACCCAACAGCTCGAACATAGGTCGCGCATAATTTCCAAAGCCGCGTCGTCCGGCAAAAGTACTTGCCATAGATATGGAGTTGCACCATCGTTCCCGACTGCCGTGCCAACTCGCATCATTGAGCCATATCTCCTTGTCGGCACGGGCGGAAACCTGGATATGCTCGTTGAGCGCCTGGACGTTGGCGCGCCCCCAAGAAGTATTGTGGCGTTCCGGTGCGCGATCAGCTGCAACGCCCTCGCAGATCCACGGTCTGCGCGGGGCCGCCGGGAGACCCGGTACGCAATGCGACGCAGGCCCCATCGTAAATGTCGCAATGCGCCCTGGTTTTCCTTCGACGGTCTCGCCGCGCGCCCCGGAATCCCAGCCCCCAACAAAACGTTCGGCACAGGCTTCTGCAGTGGAACTATTCCGGAGAGATGTCCAGTCAGACCGGAGCGGTCGACGCACACGTTATTGTTTCGGGAGGTTGACCTCCAAGTCAACGCAATTAGGAAAATGACGAAGCTGCAAAACTCTGCCACGATCGCTCCATATACAAACAATACTGGGTAACCATTTCGGGTCGAGCACAACGCGGCCAAGTTGCTCAAAAGCGCCAGGCAGCACGGTGTCCGGAGGATGGGCCCCAATGTCGTAGCACGCCACTTTGGACTCCACGGCCACGTCGAAAAACGCGTTCGCGATGCACGTTTCTGCGGCAGTACGCAACTCCACCAGTAATTCTCTGCTCGATGTAGGCGCCCATTTGCTGGCGCGGTTGTGGAGCACGAAATCACCTTTGATGTCCACCTCCCAACCGTATCGTTGCAAGAGCCTCGCATTCAAAAATCCGAGTAATATTGTTGGCCCGTGGCTACGGCCTTTCGCAAAAATCAAAACCAAATCCGCAAAACAAATCATGGCGGGTGTCGAAATCATGAGTGTTCGCCCAAGCGTAGACATTGATCAGCGTCAGTACTCCTCCCTCCACAAGCATACCAAGTGTTGCAACTCTGCGGCGTATTGGATGCATGATTTACTTAACTGTTCAGCGCAAGGTAATCGTACGAAACCCACTCCAGCATATCCTCTGTGGTCGCCTTCTGGCCCCGATAAAATTGCAAACAAATGCCAATTGTATCCATGGAACAGCGATATTCCAATCCAGCATGTGCTTTGTGATTTCGTGCAACTTCTAAGGGCTGCCTTGGGTAATGCCTGCGACACTCCACGAAGCGATCCGCCCACAATATATAGGAAAGCAAGAAAAAATCGATTCTCCAATTTTGGAAGAATTTGCATTGCCGACGCGCCGCCGCAACTCCTAGTGTGTAGCTCCCTTCCCTCCTCATTTCTCTCCCTTCCCAGCTCCTTGCGCTGCCCTGGTTAGCGTTTCGTTCGCTCGGGGCGCGGAGCGGCCCAGACCGGGAGTGTTTCCGAGGTCGCCCCAAATCGCCCACGCACCGTACCAAGACAAATGCAACCGGTGGTTGGAGACCGTCGCACGCACCACAAAGTCACCCGCCACTTTGAACGTCTGCTCGTGCGTGTCCACGCGGGCCTCTCCCTTGGTGTAGCCCCACTCGTCGACGAACAGCCTCCGGAGGCCAAACAAGAACGACCCCGCGACCCTTTTCTCGACTGGCTGGTCGGGACGAGTCCATATCGTGTTAGCGTTGTGCTTGATCTGGGCTTTACCGACAGACGTGACGAATTTATCCCGGACAGCTTTAGACCCGAATTTTGCAAATACGATATTATTGAAATTGCCTTTCACGTAGATATCCAAGGGTTCTGGAAAGCTACGATGTCTTATGTGATTGTTGAGGAAGGCAACCGCAGAATCAAGATCCGTAAAATCTCCAAGACCTCCCACAGCAGCGGTACTTGCCCGGTCCCCTTTGTTAGTAAGCTCAAAAAGTTGCCGTTCCAATTCTGATATTGGTGCTGCCATTTGGGTGCTGATATTCGGTGTTGTTCCGGAGCGTGCGGATGGGGCCGATATGCATTTTCCAGTTCTTCGACCCGTGAAGTAAGATTGAGGATATTCAAGCGTACCGGAGCCAACACGTTCTCCAAGTCGTCTTTCGATACCCCATGCCTTTTGACAGCGGCAAGATCGGTATGGTTAGGGCCCAAATGTGTCTTCAATAACTTCTCGATTGCGTCCATGGTTACAGCGTTTGACGAAGAAGCATTGCTGTGTACGGAAGGCGCTGTATGTATTGCAGCTGCCGCGGCAAGCTGTTCTTGAAATTGCATTTGGCGCTGCGTTTGAGACTAATCGGAGGCACTCTCTGCTCCTGTAAGTCCGGAACGGGGCTTTGTCAGGAGAAACAAATGTGACAAAGAGTCAGTACAGTAAGGGGAATGTGACGCTGTAAAAAAAAGGAGAAAGAAAAAAAAAAAAAAAAAAAAAATCGGCGTCGGGGGACGGGGCTGGGACGGCGAAGGGGGGCCATCGGGCAATCAAAAATGGGGGGCGATACATGGGGGGTAAGAGAGGTGCAATTTTCGTGCACCTTTCGTACCCCTTCGGGGCCCTACCCAGACATCTGACGTCTCGATTTTTTCAAGACACGGGCCCCCGACTTCCCGACCACTTCCCCAGGACCGGTATTTTCATCCCGAGTTGTTTTTTGACGGTCCCGAGGCCAGGTGAGGGCCCCGAGAGGCCGAAAACGACGAACAACCCTTAGTCTTGATGTTTTCGACACGCCCGATGTCTGGGTAGGGGGCTCGTTCGGGGCCCCTTTAGGGCCCCTTCCGTGCAACCCTCGACGCCCCACCCCTTCATCGCCCCCGAATCCCGAACGCCCGAGGCCCCTCGGAAAGGAACGGGTTCCGGGGCGTCCAAGACGCCCCCCTGGAAGCGAGACGGCCCGTGTCTCGAGACAAATCGGGAGGCGTCGGGCGTCCAGGCGCCGGGGGGGCTCCTCTCGGAAGGGGGGTCCCTATGCTTCCATGGGAGGCACAAAGACACACTAGTACTACTAGATGTGTTCCTTGGAGGCGCGCCTCCGACCCAAGCATACACTATACCCATCATGTAACATGTATATATACACGAATATACATATACATATACATACACATGTACCTATACATATACCTATACCTATACTTATACATATGCATATACATATACATATACATATACATATACATATGCATATGCATATACATATACATATACATATACACATACATATACATAAACATATACATATACATATGCATATGCATATACCTATACATATACAAATGTGTTTGTATATATATATATAGGTGTATACAGATATCCAATATTATACATATATATATATATACACATATAATTTCCCGAGCGGCGTGGCCAGAAAACGCCCGCCACGACGCATACACAGTATAAGATTTCCCGGCGCGCGCGCCGCCCATGTGGGGGTGACGCACACATAGTATAAATATGTTGGGGTGGCGCCGATTCCAGGAAGCCTTCTCCCGGAATTGAAAAAGACCTCCCCAAAGATCCGACGTCGTGATGTTTTCAAAGCGGGGCCCCCAGAAGTCTCGACCCATTCCCCAGGACAGGCTTTTCATCCCGAGTCGTTTTTTGACGGTCCTGGGGCCCAGCGGGGGCCCCTAGGGGCCGAAATTTGACCCCCCCCAACAACGAAAAAATCTTGAATTTGTCAATGCGCTGGATCCCTGGGAAAGTGACAGGGACCTCTCGCGGAGCCTGCCCGCGTCCCTCGCGGATGCCCCGCTCCGCCCCCCCCCTCGGCTCGCCGGCGCTCCTCGGCGTCGACGCAGGCCCGGGCCACCAGCAGCCTTTTGAGCACCATTTGCCCGATCCCCCTCCCCAACGGCGCGGCCTGGGCCCCCCTGGCCGATCCCCCCCACCCCCCAAGATGGGGATATGGGTCGTTGCCTTCGGGTCTCGAGGGGCGTGTGCCTTCTCAGGCAAGGGGGGGGGCACCCAGTTTTAAGGGGGTTGGGAGGCCCAACCAGAAGCTTCGCTCAAGGCGAAGCCCATATCCAACTCTGTTGTACCGTAGCATCGATAGTCCCAGAAGTAGGAGATCGTCTCGAGTCGCGGAAGCGGCGGGCCATGTCAAGCGAAAATGTTTCCGGTCCCAATGGCAAGTAGCGTGCCTCGCGATGAAGCACAGCCACACGTCGGCGGCCGGCCGCTTGAGAACAAGCGGCCGCGGACAAACGCTCGTTATCTCTCGCCTTTGCCCCGGCCTCCTTTAGAGTCGGGGAGGGGGAGACGAAGCGCGAGTCCGCCGCTTGCTATACAGTAAAACGCGATATACACAAGGTAGGCAGCAGCATGCGGGTTCAACAAGGAAAGTTGATCCGCACGCAATTCCCTTGCAAGCGATATGCCTCGAAGGCAGGTCGCCTTGCAGGCGAGTGCTCCTCAGGCGGCTCAGACGATCTTGTCGGGCCAGCCCTGTACGGAGCATGTTGTTTTAAGTCGCGATTGAAGGATCGCGTTCCTCCCATGGCCTGTAAGAGCATATCTCTGCTGATGCTCCCTTTGGCGCGGCCGTCTGCAGCCATGTCGCGAATGTCACACCACTGTACATTATGCACGAAACCTCGTTGCATCATCTGTCGCATCCAACTGATGTGCCCTCTGTTTCTTCAGGTCTTTGCTTGACAAGGACTTGAAGACAGATTCTGCATCGACGGTCAAAGTGACCTCAATGCTCTGGCCGCCCATCTCAAGTAGATCTTCCAACTGAGTGGGTGTCAGCGGCACTGCGTGGAGTTCACGCAGAGTGACAATCATGGGATAGCAGTCCTCGAAAATGCGAGCTTCTGTCTCCGCTGAATAGCTCGAGCGGACCTGCAAGCGGTGAGACTTGCAGCGCGAGTCGATGCGATGGGCGACGGGCTTGCCAGCAGGCGGGTTTCCACGCCGCAGCAGGGTTGCCCCGCGAATACCATGGCCTTCAACCTCGTCCTCGGCATCCCCAGTAAGACGCCGGTAACCGGAGTCGCTGTAAGGTCGACCTCGCCCGTTGGAGACATCGGTTGGTGGGGGATCTTCTTAGGGCAAGCCTGCAACTTTCTGGTAATCGCGCTCAGTCGTCGCACTTGCATGCCGGTCGGCTCTTGGACGCGCTGTAGGGATGCAACATATGCCATCGACCACATCTGTGCGATTGAGGCGCAAGCCAAAACACCTCTGCGGCTGACACACAGGTCAGCGACCATCCTCGATACTTTGGCGTGAGCGTCTGCTCCAGTGCGTTTAAGATGTTGTATGGGACGGAGCTGTTCTCTGTATTCGCGTTGGTCAAGCGCGACGTTGCCGCCCCCATCGTTTGTGCACCTCGCAGCAACATTGGCACATGTGTGTTTGTTGAAATTACACTTGCCAAAAGCATCCTCGACGGTGTCCTCAGTGCTGGCCACGTTGATTTCACCAACGTGCTTGGCTGTAAGAAAGTTGGAACTTGTCTCGGACTCCTCGTCGTAGGACATGGGTCTGAGACCAAACCCTCTCGTGGTCTTTCTGAACTTCAGTGGGATGGCCCTTGGCGCGCCCATGGCGCCGGCGCCTGGCTTGAGGGGCTGCAAGCAGTGCTTTGACTCATCGTAGTGCTCAAATCCTGGGAGGGATCTAAGCGCAGATGCCGATCCAGGCGGCAGTGCAAAGCGCGCCACGCGTTCCTTTTCACCGGTTGCTTCGGCAAGTCCCTGATAGGCAAGTCCCTGCAGGAATGCCATGTTGATGTCAAGGGAAGCAATGGTCCATTGCTTCTTGCACGCTGCCGCGCTCGCGAGTAGTCTCGGACTCGACAGCCGCGCCGCCCCTGGGAAAGTCTCAGCATCGAAGGCTTCGAGGTCCATGACACCCCGAAGTACCAGACGCAGTCCAATGGTCCGCGGTCCGCCCCATCTCGCCCTTCTCGTTCTCGACGAACTTCCAATCATGTGCGCATCTCGAAGTCATGAAGTTTAACGCCTGTGATATACCTTGTAGCTTGAAATACCTGTTATCAAACGATGCATCGAGTTCAGTGCGTAGGGCTTCAGATACCTTGACTGGACTCGCCTGGATGTCCGCCTTCGCGAGCAAGTCGCCCTCCGCGACGCCTGCGGCTCGTTTAGCTGCAGCGGCCACATGTACTCGCATCGCGGTCACGCGATCGAAGTTGACTATCTTGGGTTGTTCGGATAGGACTACCTTTGACATGTCTGCAGCTATATATTTATATATATAGAGAGAGAGATACTGCCCGCGCTTGTCAACGTCTTATCCGTAAGTGCCGTCTTCGTCCGTGAAACACACAGGGACATGATGTGCCACCGTAGCGTCGATATCACGTGGATTACCCCACGCGGGCAGGTGCCCCCGCTGTTATTCAGCAACTGTGACCAGCGCGCTATTGTCGGTGATCCTATGCGTGGGTACAGTGTAGAGGTCGCGTATTGGAGTTGCCTCCAGCACCCCTCTTTCCCCCTGCAGTTCTTTGCCCCACGCATCCATAATGCGTGCCTCTAGGCCCGCTTCTGGTTCTTCATTGATAGTAGGAAGCCGTCCGTCCTCCTGTGGTGGTTCGGCTTCTGGAGCTCCTCTGGCGCTGTTGTCTAGTGTCGG